AAAAGTAGAAATTAACAGTGAGGGTAAAATATAGTCCATAGTCCCTCTACTAAACATGGCCCCTGCTACTGGGTTATTATTCACCACACATCTACCCTGAGCACAAACTGTGGAACTAGATTTGCCTTGCTTTAAATCTCAACTGGGCCATTTAATAACTGTGAATTGGAAAAGCGGCTTCATCTTCTCAGTGCCCCAGTTTCCTCATCGCTAGGATGGGGATAATTAATAGCTCTGCTGCATGGGGTTGTTATGAGAACGAAGCAAATTAATATATGCAAAGTTTTCAGAACAGTGCCTGTGTCTTGTAAACACTGTATTTGTTAGCGATTTCTTTCCCACTCCTCCATTCCCTCCAACTCCTTCCTGCTATCAGATATTATGCACCAGACATCCTGCTAAAAACAAGTATTTTTGTGTTTCTTTCCGGTTTTCACCTCTCATGGTTTCTTTCTGCCATTTCTTAAGAGCTGAAACTGTACTCCAAATGTAATTTTGTATCTTTAAATGTGACATCACAATTTGGTTAGTGCAATTTTATTTTAATGTTTATTTATTTTTAAGAGAGAAAGACACAGTGCACGAGTGGGGGAGGGGCACAGAGAGAGAGACATGGAATCCGAAGCAGGCTCCAGCTGCTCTGAGCTGTCAGCACAGAGCCTGATGCGGGGCTCAAACTCACGAACTGCGAGATCATGATCTGAGCCAAAGTCGGACGCTTAACCAACTGAGCCACCCAGGTGCCCCTTTGTTAGTGCAATTTTAAATGAGTGCTAAGTAGTATTGTCTTAATGCTACTATTTAGCCTTGTATAAGATGATACACAATTTGGGTATATGGATTTTATTAACATACAAATGAAAGAAACATTTTTTTTTTTTTTAATGAAATACAAACGTTCCTTTTCCTTTCCCAAAACAAAAGAACAGGACATATTTTTGAATCCTAAATTTCTGGTTTTATTTTCATTTTGGCTAGTAGAGTCATTTTTTTTTTTTTCTCTCTCTCTTTCTCATCAAGCATCACCTATGCATCTAAGTATAGGGTATGATGCTAAGTACTGGGGATGTAACAATGAATAAGGCAATTTCCTGAATAAACTTGAAGTCTGAGATACTCAAAATGATGAAGGCATACTGGGAAGAGCAACCAACTCTGCCTGAGAAAGTTGAAATCTGAGCTGGTACTGAAGGATATATAGGAATTTTCTGGGAAGGAAGGATGTGGAATAATGTATTCTGGGAAGAAGAGTCAGCAGTGAGTAAGTTTAGAAGTTGGGAACTGTCCATAAAGCAGAGAGTATTGTTCATAAAGAAGCGTAATGTGCATGGTGGAGCGGGAGGCATGATGGGAAATCAGACTGACAATGCAGCTTAGGTCCAGAAATGAAACTCAAGTTTATAACTTATCCAATAGAAAAAAAGGGAAGAGGTATAGGCTCTAAACTCCAGAAGGAAACTGTTCAGGTAGATAATGGTGGCAGTGGAACACGAACAGGAAGAGCACTAGATTGGAGGTACTGACATTAGTGATGAGGCCGGTGCAAAGGTTAATTAAAATCCAGTGAATAGAAAGGTGGCCAGATTCAAGGTATGTTCTAAAGATGCAAAAACTCCCAATTGGAAGTAGGGTATGACAGCAAAGGAAAGAGAAAGACTTAAACATTTCTAGCTTTTACAAACATCCAGTCATAAAATCAATGTCATGGGGTTGTAATGTAAAGTGTGGTGACTATAATTAACAACACTGTGTTGTATATTTGAAAGCTGCTAAGAGAGTGGATCTTAAAAGTTCTCTTTACAAGAAAAAAAACTGTAACTATGTATGGTGATGGATGTTAATTAGGCTTATTGTGGTGACCACTTTGCAATATATACAAATATTGAATCATTGTACTGTACACCTGAAACTAATATACTATATTTCATATCAATTATATCTCAATTAAAAAAAAAGGTTCCTAGCTTTGAGTAAACAGAGATGACATTAAAAGACTGAAAATATGAAAGGCGAAGCAGTTTGGGACGGGAGGGAGGAGAGAAGATGGAAAGGAGGTGTTTTAGACACGTACGGCTAAGCCACTGAGACAGGCAAGAGAGACTGCAGTTGGAAATACAGGTCTAGGGCTTGGGAGAGAAACAGGGGTTGTAATATTAGCTTTAGGATTATAATCGAAACCGTGGGAACAAAGGAGATGATCTGGTTAGAGTACAAAGACAAAAAAAGGTCCAAGAATGAAATTCTGTGGAATCCTCAGGCAGGTAGAGAAGGGGACTTAGCAAAATGATAGGCAACAGTGAGAGAACAGAAGAAACAGTGCTGCTGCAGAAGGCCGTGGAGGGACGGTCATCATGTCCAGGGATGGAGGAGACAACTCATTGAGGGGCAGTTCTGGGACTTCAGCTATAGGTGACCCTAGCAAAAAAGCAGTTTGAAGCTGAGGAGTGAATGGGGAGAAAGCAATCAGGGAGCGGCAGCAGATTCCTCTTCCAGGGGGTTTGCTGGGAGAAGTGTGGGACAGCAGATGCAAGAAGGGCAAACTATGCGGGTGAAGTATCGTCATGGCGAAGATTTGAGAATTTCTGTAGAGCAAAAGGCCTGATAGCTTATTAACAGAGCATAGGACATTTACTACATCCATTGGTCTGAAATTAACAAGATTATTAAAACACGTTAAGGACTATTCCTATATATATCTGCATGTCCCTCTTAGACGGGAACGTAAAGCTTTAACTTTAATTTGGAGATGGGGGAGAATCCCAACTTGGATTTGTTTCAAAGCTTTTGTTTTGATGTACCACAGAAGCAGTTAACAAGCAGTGCTAAGGATATAACTGAGATAAGGATGCAGGTAGGTAACTTCAGCTGCCCACTTCCTGCTTGTGTATCACAAACATTTTGGTGGCCTCAGCAGCTCTAGCAACTGAAATGTCCAGAAAGCAGAGTATTGTGGACTCTCCCTCCCATTAAAACAAAAAAGCTCTGGGTATTTCAGCATCTAGAAATTATTTAAGGTGAAAATCCTGTTTGTAAGGAAGCCACATCACTCAGGCCTAATGTATGGGTTTTGGGCCTTGAGTGTCGGGCTGTGCCCACTCTGGGGCAGTCTTGCTTTACCATTATGGTTGGCTAGGGTCCTTCATGACAAGAACTGGCAGGCCTATAGCAGAGGTGTCAAAGCAAAACACATAATGCGAGCAAGGTTTCTTTCCCTTACTCACGTTCATTGAACACAGGTATAATAAGCATACCACTAATACTCCTCTGCAGTCCACAAACTTGTCTTTAAAAGGCAAAGCAATTTTAAGAGATGTTTTTGACCAACAGCCCCATCCACTCAGCAAATTCTCTTGATTTCCTTCTTTATGAACATCTGCACAAAAACACCATATTATCAATGGTGGCAAGGGGTGTTATCTTCAGAGAACCTTAGCAGGGTGAGCCCAGATAAAATCTCAAGGTTTATTGCACTTGTGAAATTTTCACTCAGGGTGACTTTCTTGAGAGGCATCATTAGGGATGGACATTTCATATCTAATATGCAGGGCAGAACAACACTTTCAGACTTAGAGACTGCTTATAATATTCCATGTGGATTTGAGATTTTGGCTGTATCCATAAACACAGAAAAGAATATGTAACAAGACAAATTAGTAAATCTCTGAAATAGTGTTTAATCTAGAGAGATATAAGCATTTTTTTTTAAAGGTGATGTCAAATGGCACTTGGTTATCTTTAGCATGTTTTAGAAATCCTAAAACAGTATACGGTCTTTTTATTTTTAACTTACTATTATTATTTTTTAAAGATTTTAAGTAATCTCTACACCCAGTGTGGGGCTTGAACTCACCATCCCTAGGTCAAGAATCACATGCTCCTCTGGGCCAGCCAGACACCCCAGTATATGGTCTTCTGACTTCAAATTTGTTGCTTTAATTTCTCATGTTCTATGAACTTTCAGGAGGTGGTAAGATCACAATAGAATATTTTATTAATCTCTTGAAAGATGTTGTATTCTCCATCTTAGTATGCCTGTCTTTTAGAGTAGATACTAGATATAAATACTGGTGAAAAAGCAATCGAGGCCATTGACAAAGGGCAATTATTTGGATGCCTTTGACGGCAGGCACCTCACACAACTTCGTGTTTTAGGCCAAGGAAGTGCTGAAAATTCCTTTCCTGATTTTATATGCTTAGGTCCTAGAGCAAAAGCTTAATCTAATTTTGTCTATGCTAGACAAAGAATATTGCTATGAGGTAATACAGAAGTCAGTGGTTTCAGTGTTTTACTACTATGTGAATATGTAAGACAAACTGCAGTTTAGAAATAATCTGGCACATTGCTGGATAACACAACTCCTAACTCATTAATACTTGGAAAAACTAAGTAGGTACTTTGAACATGAAATATATTTTGTATTTTCCATAGAATTGTATGTCCTTGCCTTTAACACAAAACTAAAATGAATTTTAGTAGTTTTTAAATCATCAGTATAAACATTTCTTCAGTTTCTTATACTTATAGCCTCTTAATTTCAATATATATATTTCTATACACCTATGTGTGGCTATTTACAGTGTTATCCACCAGGCTATTTAATGGTAACTTTGGTCTGATTAATTGGTGATACTGTCCTAATCACCTGAGAGTGACAAGAGGAGAAAGCAGAGCTAGGTCCTTACAAAATGCATTTGATTGTTGTTCACTTTTGCTAATGAGTCTGAAAATGCCTGATTTTGATCAGAAACTCGTCGCAACTAGAGTTTCTGAGTGTACCTTAAAGTACATAAAAATTACCAGTGACAGTGACAAAGAAAAAAAGCTCTTATTACATTTAATAGTGTTAATTTTGAAGACATTTCAAACTTCCATGATGGATAACCTACAAGTGATGTGTTCCATGTAGAAACCACTACAAATTTTGGTTAGTTTGTTAAGAAACAAAGTGTTCCAACAAATGTTCTCAACATTACTTTCATTAGAAACATGAAGAGAATTTTTATAATTGTTTGAGGTGCTGTAATACATCGAGTGATACTCCCAGCTGTTTGACCAAACTGGCTGTCTGTTCTAAAATCCATGTGAGGCTTGGGTTTTCAGAATGTGGCTGCTCCTGTATTCTACAACATTCTAGAGATGAACAATCTGCCTCACTAAGACTCTTGCCACAGTTTTTGTGAAGCTTAGCATTATTTTCACAGAGTCTTTCATCTTTACCTTCATCCATCTTTTTCTCAGCTGGAGCTACATGACCAAGGTCCATATCCTGAATAGAGTCCAATAAATCTACCACATGGGGCTGAGACGTGATTGATTTCAGATGTTTGAGCACATACTCTTCACACTGGCCAACTGCATCCAGAAGACTATTTATTTTACTGATCAGAGCCGAACCATTATCATGAAGGTGACACCAGGAGAGCAAAGCACTGAATGAAAATATAAACAAGAGTTAAACAGGAAAAAAATGAACCAATGAAAAATGAACCAATCAGAGGTCCTAAGACCTCTTTCACAATTCCATCCACTTTTCTTGATTTTAGGTTTTCTCTTTGTGACTGTGTAGCTTCCACTTAAAAGGGATGCAACTCAGAGAAGAGATCACAAAACTTAGTTTCTCCTTTAAGGACATCCAACAGTTTCTGAACTAGTGATTCTCAGACTTGGATACCCATTAGAATCACCTGGGGAGCTCTTAAAACTGTCAAGGTCTAGGTCACATCCAAGACGAATGAAATCAGAGTCTCAAGCTTCCCAACTGATACCAAGGTGCAGCCAAGGTTGAAAACAATTGTTCCAACCATATAGGTGCTTCCCATCAAAACACTGCGGGGCAGGAAAAAAGTTCTGAGGCAACTTCTCTTTCCCAACTTTGTTATAGAATCGACCCTGTTTGTTGAGCTAACAACTTTCTTGAAGAAGGTTAAGAATTCTTCTAGTCCTAACAAATATTTTTCTTTATTTTTCTAGTACAGACAGTACTTTTTGTTTTCTGCCATTTCAGATTGTTCAGGTAATCATGACAAAAAATAATGGTTGTTGTGAAAAGTAGTCATGTTTTAAAAATGTAATCAATTGATGCAAAAGATTTAGCAATAAGTTTTCTGAGATTATAAAAGATTTAACTTGATGTAAAATGAGTACTTGATCATTTTCCCACCGTAGTAGACTCTAAATTCTGATATCTGATAGTTGAATTTTCTAAAAGCTCAAAAAATGAAATTGTTTTGATGACTTATTTTCTACTCTTTTTAATTTTTTTTTTTTTTAAAGAGAGAGAGGGGGGAGGGGCAGAGGGAGACAGAGAATCTTCAGCAGGCTCCATGCTCACTCCTGAACCCGACGTGGAGCTAGATCTCATGAGAGATCTTGACCTGAGCCAAAATCAAGAGTTGGCTGCTTAACCGACTGAACCACCCAGGTGCCCCATTTTCTGCTCTTTTAAAAATTAGTGATTCTTTGAAAATTTTTTTTGTTTGTTTGTTTTTTTTTTCTATAGAGGACAATTTAAAAGGTATACAACGTCAGAGAAGACAAGCCTATCATGCTCCTAGCTCCATGTGCCATCTGACTAGCTGGCCCTGACATATGCCATTATTACTATGGAATCGTGACAGGTATCCAATGTTCAGCACTAAGATAAACAGAATTATTTCCCTCTCTATTACCAGTTATAATTCTCATCATGTAATTCTAGTCTAGACGTCTGTCATATTGTGTTCTGCCACATGTGAAGATCTTTTAAATTGAGATACAGTTTAGTGGTAGTTCAGTAGCAAAAAATATCCACCTTCCTATCATTTCCTTGCAATAAAGGACCACACCTGACTCACATACTAAAGTGGATGAAGTGATGATTTTTGACTTTTTGAAGGCAATATTATTCTATACTCTGCACTACTCTTTTGTGGATTTAAGACTAGGAAAAACACTTCAGTTCAAATACTTTATTTTTACCTACGACTTTTCAAAAGTCCTCCAGCAGTATTGAGGCTAAACTGACTCTCAGCATTTAAGTTACAAAATTACCTCAATGTTCCTCTGAGTTGCCCGTAGTTTATAATCACTTCTGCACCTTCCTTATAACCTTGATTGAAGCCTTGTTGAAGAGTAACTGCTTTGCCCGCATCTATTCCATCTCTGTAACCTTCCTAAAAATAAATAACGAAGAACTGTGGCTGTGATTAACACCACATGAACCACTATAGGTTTCTCTAGAAAGTCATAGGACCAATTTAGAAAACTGATGAAACAGGCCTTCACTATTTACTATTTAACATAATGGTTCCACAACAAATGACACAGTCACACAACCAAAGCAGACAATGCTTCTCATAAAAGTTTATTATTGGCCTATCTCACTGCTGAAGTCTAGACTTACTTGGCACATTTAAAAATAATGATTCCGGGGCGCCTGGGTGGCTCAGTCGGTTAAGTGTCCGACTTCGGCTCAGGTCATGATCCCGAGGTCCGTGAGTTCGAGCCCCGCGTCAGGCTCTGGGCTGATGGCTCAGAGCCTGGAGCCTGCTTCTGATTCTGTGGTTCTCTCTCTCTCTCTCTGCCCCTCCCCCGTTCATGCTCTGTCTCTCTCTGTCTCAAAAATAAATAAAAAACATTAAAAAAAAATTTAAAAAAAATAAAAATAATGATTCCTACACAGTTAAAAAAAAAAAAAAACTATTTAAAATGGCTTCACAGGGGCGCCTGGGTGGCTCAGTCGGTTAAGCGTCCGACTTCAGCTCAGGTCACGATCTCGCGGTCAGTGAGTTCAAGCCCCGCGTCAAGCTCTGTGCTGACAGCTCAGAGCCTAGAGCCTGTTTCAGATTCTGTGTCTCCCTCTCTCTGACCCTCCCCCGTTCATGCTCTGTCTCTCTCTGACTCAAAAATAAATAAACGTTAAGAAAAAAAATGGCTTCACAGAAAGGAAACTGAGAGTTACATGTCTGACCCCTAGGCAGCCTTGACTGATGTGACAAGGGAGGGCGGTAAAGAGGTTATCAAAGGTCTTCAACAATGAACTCAACTGGGTTCGCAAAAAAATGAAAAGTGTGATTTTAGAAATTTTTCTTGATACCTAAATTCAAATAAACTGCAAACTCTCTGTGGGCAGGGATTTTGTCCAGCATCTTCAATGGCGCCACAGCGCTCAAAAGATGATCACTACTGACTGGTCCAGCCCACGCTTCACATAAAGCATTTCTGAAACTGGTAACAAGGTTGTTGGGCTAAGCAAACATTTTCCTGATACATTAAGGGCAGGTCAGGGGCGATTTAATGGTTGGCAATGATATTAGGTGTAAATCAAACTCGCCATGTGAACTAAGCTCTGAGTGCTCCAACTGGAAATTGGGGATGTGGTATTAAGCTTAGTTTCAGTGAATAATGAGGCAAATGAGATACGGGTAATTCACACCTAACAAATAAGAAAGAAACCAACTTCAGTATTCCCTCACCTAGCCACCAGTAGCTTCCCTTCATCGCTCTTCGTTATTCTTAAGTTCACTTTTTCCATATGTCTTGATTAATACCACTCCTAACTTTACGCTCTTCACCCCTTCAAGCAACCCAGGTAAAAAAATGTCCTTTGACAGCCATAATTAGCAATAGTCAGTGTATACGTTTCTCCCCCACCTTCTCTGTGATCCTCATCAAAGTCCAGACCAAGTTTATTTTGGTCTGTTTCCAGCGTCTAACGCGCCCGGTGGTTTCACACGGCTTCAAGTAACCCCACTGGAAAATCCTAGCAGGACGCGGGCCGGAGTGGAAGGCAAGGGGGTGGGGAGGGCAGCGCCGGGCCAGGCTGCGACCACTGTGCCTCTACTCTCGAGACCCTTACTTCTGACAACTCTGCGCCCGTCTCCCCCACAACCCGGCATAGCTTCCCCGCTCCCGCCACGCAGCTTTACTTTGACTCGTCTCAGCATGTGGCTCTGCCATTCCCGCTGCACCAGGAGCGACTCGTCCGCTTCCTCGTCAAACACGTCCCCCTCTTCTCCGGGACCCTGGACCAAGGGAGTACTTTGAACCCACGACATCACCGAGGCAACCACCGCCGGAAGCGCCAGCAACTCCTTCCGGTCCGAGGGACCGGCGAACGCTGCGGGTCGTGCCTCAGCTGCTGCGCATGCGTGTGTGGTGTTGGGTGATGTCGGGTGAGTCCCGGTTGCCGCTTGTGCGTTTTGCGCTTGGGATCTGTGGACTCCTTCAGTGGACCCAGAGTGTCGGCGAGCACCTGTTGTGGGCGAGGCAGATTCCTGCCTCGCGGGACCCGTCCGCCCTTGGCCTGTGCGGAGGGCAGCCAGGACGCTCAGTGAAACACTGCGTTCCCACTGCGGTCCCGACGGCGTTGTGGGTTTTGGAGCCCCGCGCGTCGGTAAAACCCTTGGCGGATTGGCGATTACTGGCCAAGGACTCTCTCACTTTCAGAAGCCTCCTCAGTACGTTGTAGGGATTTGACAGCCCAACGGTTTTTGTTAGAAGCAAAGGACAATAAGGGCCGAAAAGTTAGCTAGCGCGGCCATTTTGGGATCATTACATATAAAGAGTACATTTATGAGACGAATACATCTCTCATGGATTCACGGTATCCTTCACTGGCTCGTGTTCCGGCTCGCGTTCCGTCTCGCGTGCCCTATTGGCTGGGTGAGGACAGAGACTTGTTTACGTAAACCCAGCACTGGCACGGTTCTGACACGTGGTAGATGGTGAAGCATCTAAGATGTTAGTGAATGAATGGACACCAGTAGTTTTGCTTTTTTGCGTGGTGATGTGGCACGATCATTTATTTATTTAACGTATTTTGTGTGTGTGTGCCAGGCACCGTTGTACCTTTTGGGATACATCAGTGAACGATAGACAAAACTTTCCAGCTCTCGTCCGCCTTACATTCATGTAGAATGGACAGGATAAACAGTAAGCACTGTATAAGTAAATTACGTAGTTTGTTATAAGATCATAAAGGATACCTGTTATGAAAAGGAATTAAAAAAATAAGCAAAGTAAGGGGAACCATGAGCATGTGTCTGAGAGTGGGTGGTGGTTTAGGTTATAATTTTTAAATGCTCAGAATTTTGCATTTTATATATATGCATACATATATAATTATAGTAATTTATATAACTTACTTGGTAGGTCCATGTATAAATATAGAATGTGTAAAAACATTCTATACTTGGCTACATAAAATACCTTAATAAACTTAAAATCCCACACATTTTATCTGGGTCATATTATCTGATCATATTATCTGATCATAATCCAACAAAATTAGTAATAAGTAATAAAAAAAAGACTCCAAGAATTATAATAGTGGGCATTAGAAACACCTTTGTAAATAACATTTAGATCAAAGGGGAAATAAAAATTAAAATGACATACAGTAAGCAATTAAAATCTGAACACTTCCTACCAGAAAACATAGGACCAAATGAAAGCTATACTGAAGCAATTCTATAGGCTTAAATATCTTTATTATTAAAGAAGAAATAAAAAATACATAAATTTTGTTATATATCTTAATTAGCAACAAAACTAGTAAGAAAAGCAATAAAGATATCAATTGGAATTAATAAAAGAGAAGATTCCCAAACTTAAATAAATCCTAAAGCTGGTTCTTTAAAGACACCAATAAGGCAGATAACCTTTTTTTTTTTTTTTTTTTTTTTTTTTTTTAAAGTAAGCTTTACACCCAATGTGGGGCTTGAACTCACTACTTTGAGATCAAGAGTTGAATGCTCCAGGGACTGAGCCAGCCACCCACCCTCAGTAATCCTCTTTTGACCTTGATTTAAGGAAAAAAAAAACAACACCACCAAAATTATACAAAAGAGAAAGGAGGCAATGATGCAGAAAGAAATTCCAGTGGTATACATTACTAACTGAAGTTCAAGAGCCACACATTTGAAAACCTAGGAGATGTTGAATGACTTTCTAATAAAAGTGACCCAGTAAGTAGAAAACAGGGAGAGACTGATTACCCTAGAAAAATTGGACATTAAATATCCGCTATAAAAAATAGCATGAAGACTTGACACACAGGCAAATGCCTTAAATCCTTTTTAATCTTTAAAGGACAATGGATAATTAAATATTTTTTACTCTCCTAGGGCAAAGAAAAAGAAATGCCCTGAATCATTTTATGAAGCCAGCCTTATAGTAACCTGATAAAGATAGTATAAAACAAAAAAACTAAAGTTCAAGTTAGCTTATGAATATTCAAAAGGGAATCCATTGCCTTATCAAAAGAATAATTCAAGATGTTTTATTCAAGGGAAGCAAACTGTTGCAATATTAGGAAATCTATAAGCATATTTCATTACATCAGTAGTTTATTGGAGAAAAGCCATATGCTATCTAAGCTGAAAAATAATTTGAAGAAATTTAACAAAATAAAATGGAAAGAAATTACATATTGACAGTTTATGAGAAATCCAACTGCTAGTCTAAACACTCAGATGTTTCCTTTAAAGCAGAGAAAAGAAAGGCCATCTGGTGATCCCCATTATTATTAATTTTTTTTTATTACTTAACATTCTTTTGAAGACTAGTAAATGCAATAAGAGAGGTAAATAAAGTAACTTAAAAATGTTGGATAATAAGAGATGAAGTTATTTCTTTTTGTTGTTTATATAATTGTATACCCACAAAACCCAAAGGAATTCCATTAAAAATGACAGAATAAGGGAATTTGATAAGGCCTCTGGCTATAAGAAAAATAAACAGACCAACAGCCTCTTAATTTTCTGGCAATAACCATCTAAATGTAAATGAGATAAATATTGCACTTGCAATACTAACAAATACTGTTAGATATAGTATTTATATGTTTGCTTAGTATTTAGTACTTATTTAGTATTTATACATGCCAGGAATACATTTTACGAAATCAACTTTATATGAGGTATAATTTACATGCAGTAATATGCATACATTTTGAATGTAGAGTTTGATGAGTTTTGACAGATGTATACCCCTGTGTAACCACCACTGAATCAAGATACAGAAATTTCCATCACCCTAGGAAATTTCCTCATACTTCTTTGCAGTCAGCGCCTCACTCCTTGAGGCAACCTCTGATTGAATTTCTATCACTCCAAATTAGTTTTGCCAATTTTGGAACTCGATAGAAATGGAATCATATATGTCCTTTTAAGTATTTGGCTCTTTGACTCAACATAGTGTTTTTGAGATTCATTCACGTGGTTACATGTACCAGTAGGTTGTTTTCATTTTATCACCAAGTACTCTTTTCATTGTATGGATATACCAGAATTTGTTCCTTCACATATTGTTTGGATTGTTTCCAGTTCTTGGCTATTGTGAGTAAACCTGCTATGAACATTCTTGTACAAGCTCTTTTGTGTACAAGTTTTCATTTCTTCAGAGTGAGTGTGTAGAAGTGTAATCGTTGAGTCATATGCTAAATACAAATTTAACTTTATAAGAAACAACCAAACTGTTTTCCAAAGTGATTCTTCCATTTTATACTCCTACCAGCAATGTATGCAAATGTCAGTTACTCCACATCCTCTTCCTCACTTGGAATTGTCAGTCTTTTTAGCTCTTCTAATAGGTGTGTAGTGAGTGATATCTTACTGTGCTTTTACTTCTTATTTTTCAGATGCCTTACGATATTGAACATCTCTTCATGTGCTTGTTTTCCATTTGCATATCTGTTTAAATGAAGTCTTTGTCCATCTAAAAAACAATTGGCTTGTCTTACTGTATTTCAAAGATTGTTCCATCCTTTGTCAGATACGTGAATGGCGAATATGTTCTTTGCATTAGTTACATCCACCAGGAGACAGCTGTGGAGATAGAATTAGGAGTTCATGAAATGTACTGGGGCATAGGGAACACACTGCCCATGAAAGGTAAAAAGTGGAGGAGCCATGATTAGGCAGAGAAAGCCGAATCAAGGGGAGGCTGATCTGATCCCTGTGATAGGAGGGTCCCTAGGTAGATCTCACAGAGGTCTGGACAACATAAAAGGGAGTCAGGAGCAGAGGGCAAAGAGGAGTCTTTTGTTCAGTGCATAGGACCAGGCTTTGATACACCTGCCATGCTCAGTTATTGGCTGGGGGATGCCCTGGAAGAGTGTGACCTTGGCTGGAAGTCTGAGACATATGCTGTAGGTGCTTACTAACAGGTGGACGGTGACAGCTGTACTCCTCTGTCAAGAACCAGATGATCTTTCAAGGTCCTTTCAAGTGTGTGATTCAGTTTTTTCAAAAATAGCTATTCCTTTTCTTTCTTTCTTTCATTCTTTTTTTTTTTTTTAATGAACTGTAAATAACAATGACACCTCCTGCATAAATTTTGGTGTCACGATGTGAACTTACTCAAAGTATTTAGCAAACTTATCTTGCAGTCCATATCTCTTATATAAATACTCTGTGATGAGGTCAACCTCTAGGATTCACTCTATTCTTTTCCTGTTCTTTCTGCTTATCGTTCATCCTTGTCTTTTCTTTCAAAGCCTTCAACAATTCTTTTTTATGTCCTTCTATTTCTCATCTCTTGCTAAGTTTCATTCTTTATCTCAGTCTCCCACACTTTATTTGTGCCTTTGCAAACTGCTATTTTGTAGTTAGTGTAATAAACTTGTAAGAGGGCACAGACCTTTTCTCAGTTTCTCTTCCAAGTTTCTAGCATGCTGGCTTTCATCATGAAGTCTCTGGCAGCCAGCCGGCAGAACTCCTAATTTCCATATGCCTAGTGAAGTAGTTTTCCGCTTTTTCTTGTCCTTTCTAAACGTTTCATATGTTCTGCTATTCTCAGTGGTATTAAGTCCTTGGGTGCCGTCTTTTAATTGCTTATGTCAGGTTTGCTCTAAGGTGTATAATATGAAATAATATATTTAATAGTAATATGCAAAATCAAGTTGTTGTTAGTGGTGAAAATGATAGGAGAGCATTCAATATATGGCTCCTAAAGAGAGAGCCTTGAATAAGGATAGTAGGGTAGTAGGTAGATCTGGGCAGAGTTGCCTTCTTTATTTCATTTACTTTATTTTATTTTTTTTAATGTTTATTTT